AAAGGGATAAATAGGGCAAAATAGCCATTATATACAGTTTTTGATGAACAATTAGAGAATAACGAGTAATGAATATGCTTTATAGCAGGGGGGTGGGGAACCTTTTTCCTCTCAAGGGCCATTTCAATTTTTTCAACATCCTCCGAGGGCCGTACAAATTATTGACCTCTGCTTAAAAATACTAAAATCACAGCCCCTTCATTTCACCTTTCTTTCATGCTGTGCAAAGAAAATGCAACCTCTGAATCCAGATATCTCACCATGACTCGCGCATGCATGCACGTGCACGGTGTGGCAGGACCACAACAACAGAAAGATATGGACACAAGATTTTTTTTTACATGTTGAAGTTAAATTCATCAATCTGGTGCACTTTGAGAGCAACATGAGGAGCTCTATGGATACATCTCTCAACACCCATATGAAACTGAACTGGAAACAGATTTTCCTTTTCTTTATGGATATTTTACAAATCACTCTCCTTTCAAACTGTATTCTTGTTTATTAATAACAACTTTTTTTTACTGTCATATAGTATTTTATACCTGTTTACTTTATTCTCTTATTTTTGTATAACTATAATGATCATATAAAGATGTGCCTTTACCTCACTGGTTGGAGAAAACGCTTCTTATATTCGTTAGCATAGCTAGCTAACCAGATGCTAATAACAGCAAAGTTATTGACTGTATGATCAGTGACAGATGAACAGATCTCCACTGGGCTTTCAGCTAAAGACACAGCCACGCAGAAACTGCGGCATGTGTACGGCTCCTTATGGGTACTGCAATCTTTGGAAGAGCCGGAGCGGCGTTCTGGTGCTCTCCATCAGAACTGCACCCCTGTCAGACCAGACATATACCACGTGATGACACGTTAGGCTCGTGTTGTGTTCAAGGACCCTGACCTTGGCCAGGAAAAACAGGCACTCACTTGTTTAATTATTTTGCGGTCTAGATTTCTTTAATTTTTTTCCTTTTTTGCGTGTGTTTATAAATGACCATGAGGGTCGTACCAAATAGTCTTGCGGGCCGTATACGGCCCGGGGGCCGGAGGTTCCCCACCCCTGCTTTATAGGGATCTGCAGTAGGACACGTTCAAGTCTTGATTTGGATAGTGTGCCGTCGATGGGTTTCATTCCATTTCAAAGTGCTGTTTGACGCGTGTAAACTTTGCGCACTGCCACTCCAACATCCAATCACAGAGCTTGAGAACTAATCACGGGGTTTGTCAAACAGAGCACATGGTGTAGTCCTAAACGTTAGCTAGGGATTCTGGGTAGTGTAGTGTCTTCTGCCATCCTAAACTAAAAAAATATAAAACTAAAACTAAAAATAATTGTTTCTCAGAATCGAAGGGGAAAAACACAAAAGCATTGCACACAATTTAAACCAATCAATGTTGTGTAATTAACAAGGATAATCTGGTGTTTTTGAGTTGATGAGTAGTGGAGATATCACTGTAAAATCAATCGACAGTAAGGGGAATACTTACTTCCGGGTGTACAATTCTCCGTTATCCAATGGGAAAGGACGCTCACATTGCCTTTAACAGCCTCCGACACAAACGAATGCCGTGCTTCCCTAAGCGTCAAATACCGCCGCAGATGGGAATACATTGCAATCAGTTGAAAGCTATTTGCGTCTGTTTATGAAGCTGAAGGAGTGACCCCCAAACCAGACTGTGTGTATGGGAAGATCAATAAAATATATATTTACCCAAACAAAATAGAATACAAATCTGCTGTGAATGTGTGTGTGTGTGTATGTGTGTGTGTGTGTATGTGTGTGTGTGTGTGTGTGTGTGTGTGTGTGTGTGTGTGTGTGTGTGTGTGTGTGTGTGTGTGTGTGTGTGTGTGTGTGTGTGTGTGTGTGTGTGTGTGTGTGCAGGCCCCGTGCCAGAACTAATCTACAGAGAGGGCATGTGAGGACCCACTAACCCGTCATGTAGATAAGATCAGCAGCATGGCCAACATCAGTGCGTAGAGACACAGAAATAAAGAGCAGCATAGAAACCCCGTTTGAAACTCCGTGTGCACGGCGGCACGATCACTGGGAACACAGCACTCAGGAGCAAGGCACACACTCACAAGAACTAAACAAAGCAGCTTTGCTCGGGCCTTCAGCTTGGGCAACCGCTGACCGAGCAGCAAACACAGAATACAGAGTAAGCACCAAGATGTTTATTCCACATGCAAACCATCTCCCTGCTGCGTGATGCTTTCCAGGGTCCCACATTCTGCAGTGGAGACCCCGGAAGTTAAGACAGACTTAAATGCCCCTATGACACTTGGCATGGCTACCAGGGTCTTGTGGAAGGAGGTGAGGAGTGTATTAATGGTCCATTTCCCATCACCTCGGGGCGTATAGAGCCTTCAATGGTGTGCAAAGAAACAGTTCGAACACAACATACTCGGCTTCTACAAGTTTAGTGCTGCTCAATTCCTGATTGGTCTGAATGTGGGCCAATCACAAATCACAAAAGTCTGTACAACACATGTAGAGTATTTGACGTAGGATATATTTAATACATTTGAATTACTATCTAAGATCACACACATCGTAGCATTAAAGTGCACCATGTCTGTGTGTGTGTGTGTGTGTGTGTGTGTGTGTGTGTGTGTGTATCTTGCTGTCAGTGTTTACGAGTAGTTTTTTCTTGAGAGATCACAAAGATATTTGTATAATAATGAATACAGTTTAAAGTGGATTCTTACCTGAGCTACAGAGCAGTAGCATCAGCAGCAGCAGCAGGTGATCCATGTCTCTCTCTCTCTCTCTCTCTCTCTCTCTCTCTCTCTCTCTCTCTCTCTCTCTCTCTCTCTCTCTCTCTCTCTCTCTCGCTCGCTCTCTCTCTCTCTCTCTCTCTCTCTCTCTCTCTCTCTCTCTCTCTCTCTCTCTCTCTCTCTCTCTCTCGCTCGCTCTCTCTCTCGCTCTCTTTATTCTGAGCATCTCATGTTTTGTCCTCGCATTATATCAGCGTAAAGCGAGAGGTGGAGTTTATCTGGAAAGATATCTGATGGTATGTATATGGTATTTATATCTGATCGTCACGTCACGCTCTCTTCTCTCTTCAGCTACATGTCACATCATCACATCAGAGGCTGAGCATGATCCTATTCTGAGGGAACAAACAAACTAAACAGCTTTTACAAATGCCTTATGATTCATGAACAAACACAGTGTGGTTTGCAAATACATAAAAAACGTATCCATCAAACAAACACATTACATTTTTACTGGCAAGGGCTGTTCCATGCTCTGTACTTCCATGCTCCATACTTAATATACAAATGCTGTCAGCATCATTCAAAAGAGAAAACTCAAAACAACATCAATTATAAAAAATTATGTAAATAGCATGGGACATTTACAAAAGGTTTCAACATTAGGTTACAAAGCTGGTAGACAAGAAGCTACATCACATCCAATCACAAGTAGCATATAAAGCGCCAAAGTCACATCTAGTTCCTTTCTAAAACTGTAAGAATTTCCCCCATATTTTATTAAAGATATCAGACTTTCCCTTTAAAGCATAGGTTCATTTCTCTAAGGCCAGACAATGAGAGATATTTAACATATTGTTAGTCTGGTATCGGATCGCTAGAAACACCGCTGTCATCAGACTGGCAAGGGCTGTTCCATGCTCTGCTCAACCTCCCACCGTCAGAATGGACTCAGTAGAAAAAGTGTTGTACTTGTAAAACTATGCTGAATTTGTCTCTGAAACATGATTTATTATAAAAATGTAATGTGTTTGTTTGATAGATACGTTTTTTCATTGCAAAACTAAATGCATTAGTTTGTAGATGGTGTTTTCTATTTGCAAACCACATTGCGTTTGTTAGTGAATCATGAGGCATTTGTAAAAGCTGTTTAGTTTGTTTGTGGAGTTATGGCAGGAAATTAGCTCCATAGAAGAAGTTCAGATCTTGTACTTGAGTAAAAGTAATAGGAATATTGTAGGAATACTCGGTTACAATAAAAAGCCCTGCATTCAAAATGTTACTCAAGTAAAAGTAGAAAAGTATTATCATCAAAATATAGTTAAAGTACCACCTGCAGAGGGATCTAGATGCAGGTGTTCTCTTCCCCATAGAGACGCCTCGTTGCACATTATTCCTGGCATAAAGATAGAAGTGGGTCCCTTATAGCATGTTGTACACGGTGGAAATAAACATTCTGGTTACTTCAACATCAGGGATCTTATCCATGAAACTCCTTCTGAATCAAACCGTCACGGTAGCATTACCTTACTGATCCCTTTTACAATAGAAAAAACATGTTACTTTACCAGCAGAGAGAAAATGGATATTACATTATTAATGTGACTAATAAAGAGCAGTTTGATTATTTAAAGGGGACCTATCATGCAAAATGCACTTTTGTACGTCTTTTCTACATGAATATGTGTCCCCGGTGTTCCAGGGAACTCACCAAGTGTCAGAAAACACAACCCTCTCTATTTTCCTCCATACCCAAATCTCTAAAAAAGGGGCTGCAACGGATCTGATAAAAACTGATCCAGATTTGAACACTGTCCTGACGTCAGGACGGTGGCGCTACGGCTATTGGGCCAACTCCACCAATCAGGAGGAGACAGCCACGGCCATTGCCGTTCGAAAACGCTGGAGACGCTGTAGTACATATGCCGGGCCTGTAGATGGCGCTGTAGTCTGCCACAAAAGCAGCGAAGAAGACTTCCCGCCGTTAGTTACCATGGTTACCCTTCTGTTTATTCTCCGCTGTGGCTTTCTTTCTCCCTCCCCGAGGCAAGCGTTTGCTCCCGCTGCTTTAATTCAATGCAATCCCTCCCCGTCGAGGCAAGCACTGTAATTCTCTCCGGTTAGTCCACCAGCAGATGACAAACACCCACCTCTCCGCCTCTTCCAAGGAACGAGGGGACCGTGCGGCAGAGTTTCAGTTTCAGTTTCTTTCGCCGGTCAAGATGTCCGTTAAAGTTTAAATCTTCCGGACAAAGTTAGAAAAGTGCCGGTCAAAGGTCTTCTTTGTTATTTATTGAGCTTTAAAACAAATGAATAACGACTCTATATAATAAAACACGGAGGACGGAGATCTCTTTTTCTCCCCCTCTTCTGACAGCCCAGCAGCTGATCAGAGCACGTCTCCCCTCTCCTGCAGGGGGGCGTGGTCAGCAGAATCAGACCCGTAGACAGCAAACAGCACATAGAGCGAAATGAGGCATGGCTAAAATGCATGATCTGTTTGGTATTTTGAAAACAGAAACGTATAAATATACCTTATATAGGTATGGCCCTACAATATATCATTTAAATATAGCATGATAGGTCCACTTTAAGTATTATTCTGTTGATATATGTCATTACATTTGGTGAAAAGCACATGATGATTTGTTTGTTCGGTTTTTCAAAGTTTAGGACTTGAACTTGAGCGCAAAAACTTGAGACTTACTTGTGACTTGCAAAACAATGACTTGGTCCCACCTCTGCCATCTAGTGGTGACAGGGGAAAGGCACGGGCACATGTTTTATATTTGTTTCATCATTAAAACCAATGCTGTAATACATATTGTATTTTTACTTTTTTAAGGATAATGTTTCCTTGTGTTTCACATGTGTATTTTAATTTTATTTGTGGGTGGTGGCTGTTAAGAATATAAACAAATGATATAAAAGATGCTTCGGAGCCCTCCCACAGTCCGAAGTAGTGATGGGAATCCCAGCTCTTCTTGGTGAGCCGGGTCATTTGGCTCGGCTCCGCATATGCTGGTGAATATTTACGTCCCATGGCGCAACCACACATTTGCAGGAAGAATTTCTCATTGAACTGGAAGTCGTTTCGGGTAAGGGTGATTTGAAGAATTTTGAGGATGAAGGAATCCGGGCGGGTTAGGGTCAGGAGAAGACAGGAGAGCTTTCTTTACGGCGTCTAGACCAAGGGGGGTAGAAATATTACAATGTACAGAGAGTCCACGTCTATGGAAAAAATAAAGGTGTGCGAGGGAACAGAAAGGGGTTTACATTTTTTAACAAAGGTGAAAGTATCTTTAATTTAGCTGGGGTGGTTATGGGAAAGAGGGTTGATGTAGTGATCGATGAATTCCGCTAGTTGGTAGGATTCGGAGCCACAATCGCTGACGATGGGTCTTCCTGGAGGTACCAAAAGGGTGTGCGTCATTCTTTAGTGTCCCCTGGTCTCCAGCTGTGTGAGTCACTCTTTAGTGTCCCCTGGTCTCCCAGCTGTGTGCGTCACTCTTTAGTGTCCCCTGGTCTCCCAGCTGTGTGTGTCACTCTTTAGTGTCCCCTGGTCTCCCAGCTGTGTGCGTCACTCTTTAGTGTCCCCTGGTCTCCCAGCTGTGTGCGTCACTCTTTAGTGTCCCCTGGTCTCCAGCTGTGTGCGTCACTCTTTAGTGTCCCCTGGTCTCCCAGCTGTGTGCGTCACTCTTTAGTGTCCCCTGGTCTCCAGCTGTGTGCGTCACTCTTTAGTGTCCCCTGGTCTCCCAGCTGTGTGCGTCACTCTTTAGTGTCCCCTGGTCTCCAGCTGTGTGCGTCACTCTTTAGTGTCCCCTGGTCTCCCAGCTGTGTGCGTCACTCTTTAGTGTCCCCTGGTCTCCCAGCTGTGTGCTTCATGTGGAACATCTGGGTTTCTCCTGATGGAAGAGGTTCGGGTCGCTGTAACACGTTTGCACCTGTCGGCCATCGTAGAAATGTCTCAATAAGTAAAAAGTTTGGGGACGACTTGCTGATGAGTGAGTGTGTGTTTTCCTCTCCTGTGTGTGTGGACATGTGTGTATGTCCTCCTCTGCACACGGCCACAGCTGCTCTGAATCAGCCTCGTTACCTCTCCTGATCCATCACCTGAGCTCTGCAGGTGCATCAAGTCCTGCAGGTCTGCACTTCAGTCTCTGTTGGGCTCAGATTTGCTTTGCCTGCACAAACCTGCTGCCGCCACACACACACACACACACACACACACACACACACACACACACACACACACACACACACACACACACACACCGTTTATATAACTATTATAACAATTATCGTTATCTTATTGTATCCCTTTCATCCCAGCATAAACAGAGTATTCTCATTCTGAACATTTTCTCTTGCTCTTGTCCAGAGACATATATAACGAATATACAATGTGTGTGTCAGCGAGGTGATCCCTGCAGCAGCTGATGCATCCTGCAGCTGATTAAACGCTGTTTCTGTCGACCTGCTAGCACCTGAGGCTGCTGCAAAGCATGCTGGGAAACAACGCTGTTGATTGGCTTCAGTCGGGGAACACAGCTCAGTCTTTTTCTTAACGAGACGTTGCTCTGCCACACCGAGTAAGAGTGTGAAATTGATCATTGAGTATTGTGTGTGTGTGTGTGTGTGTGTGTGTGTGTGTGTGTGTGTGACCTAGCATTACTATCGTTGTGGGGACCTAAATATGTTCACACAGTCACGTGTGGGGACTGGCTTCCCTTATGGGGACAAAATGGAGGTCCCTATAAGTGGTATCATTCATTTTAGGGTGAAGACTTGGTTTAGGGTTAAGGTTATGGTTAGGGTAAGGGTTAGGCATGTGTTGGTTATGGTTAAGGTTAGGATAAGTCTCCAGGAAATGCATGTAAGTCAATGTAATGTCCCCTGAAGTGATGTAAACATGGTGTGTGTGTGTGTGTGTGTGTGTGTGTGTGTGTGTGTGTGTGTGTGTGTGTGTGTGTGTGTGCGTGTGTGTGTGTGTGTGTGTGTGTGTGTGTGTTTCACAGGTCGATGCTGCCATCTAGTGAAGAAAACTGAGGTT